CAGATCGGTTATTATTATATTAATATGTATGCTAAAAGCTAAAATAATGGAAAATGGCAGCCATTTTAAATTGTAATAGCTCATAAATGTGTACAATATTTAGTTGACTATTGTTGTCATTGTTATGAGTGAATTTCAAATTGAATACTGCATTTTAATGACATAAACCTACAGTATTAGTGATTTTAGGAAAAAAATGGCGGCCTTGAAACTGCTGGCAACCCCCCTTACGTATGAAAAAAAAATGTTGCACATACTTTTTTTTATTTATCAATGTCTACTCTACATCATATCCAATTTTTAAAAAATATAGCAAAAAAAATGCAACCTCTGATATTGCTACACTTCGGACTGGACTATTATGCTAGGCATTATAGGTTAGGCTTATGTGGGCTGGGATTTGCAACAAGGTCTCAAACTAGGCCTCTATACTATAGTAGGAAGAATTACATTTTAAATCATTTTGGTAAATTAGACATTAACATTTATCACTGGGCCTAGACCCCAACGTTCAGTTACCACATTTCTCCTAAATAACTCATGGATATACGTGGTGGTGAACGTTATGCATTTATTAGCGTTGTTGAGGGTATAGGTTTAGGTAGGATAAATGAAGTAAGTCGTTAGTTTATAGGCCTTTATTACTAATTACAGTACTGTACATTTCTTTTAGAAATGATATTAGCTTGTTGTTTAAGAAGATTTATGACCTGAGTTTGGGAATGAAAAACTTGAGCAAGAAATCATTCATAAAGATAAGATTGTTGAGGACGTAGTTGAAGAGAAAGTGAAGGAACATTTTGATGAATAGAGAGAGACTTGATGGGAGGAAAAAATATAATTTTTCATCGCATACCAGAATCTGATAGCGGTGATGCTGAGGTCAGGAAGCAACACGACATTGATACTGTAAGATAGATACTCCGAGCTGTTAACATCTCCCAAACGATTTTTTTTTTAATTGGGACTTCTAGATGGCTGGGATGGGAAAACTAGGCCTATTTGTTTTTGGGCCTGACTGCCCGACGAGCTGGGCTTGACCAGATCAATGGGGGGGGGGGGGAGGAAGGGAACTCAAGCCTCCCCCACCCACTGGCGTGCCACTGGCCCGATTTTACACCCAAAGAAAGAGAATTTCGACAAAAACTATTAAAACGGAAACGTCAAGGTAAAAAGATATTTACATGAGAGATTGTATGTAAAAATGTAAGCTCTCAGCGAGATTCTTAGTTGCATAATGATCTACCAAAAAATTAAGTTTCATTTTTGTATTTTTTTCCAAGAAGAATTTGAAATAATTTATTTGTTTAAAAAAACTAATAAAATAATAATAATAAATAAACGAAATTAAGAATAAAAAAATAAAATTAATGACTCAAAAAAATATAAACAAAAATAATCACGACTTTATTTTAGATTTACAGGACAAGAACTATAACAGCTCGTCTTTAGAAGTATGACTTGATTAATAACCGTAACCAACATGGATTTGTACAAGGGAGATCCTGTCTAACAAATTTACTGCTGTCCATGCAAGAAATTTTTTCATGTCTGGATCAAGAAAAAGGAGTCTTTCGCGTCCTGTAGACCTGGTAATGTTCATATTTCTTTACAAAGTTAGCTATGTCCTTGCTAATACCTAGCCACACACTTTGCTTGGCACGCTTCCGGCATTGAAACACCTTGGTGTCCATCGTGGATAAGCTGCATGATTTCTGCTCTTAGCTCAGATGGAATGTATATCCTATCATCGAATGTGATCAGTCCATCATCAGCAGAGAAATGACCCCTTAGATCGTATAAACTTCTTAGGTTTTGTGAAATGTCCTGCACATATGTCTTGGCAATCCATCTAATATGTATTTCGAAAGTGTTTGGCATTCATGTTTGGTTGCTTGTCTTATCTGCTCTAGCTTTGATGCTGATGCAGGCCAGATACAACTTTATTTGTGGTAGCTGATTCTCTTCTCATTGGGCTTCTGGACAGTGTGTCTGCAATGACAATATCCTTACCTGGTACGTGTTTTGCTACTGGATTTTACCTCATTAACCTCATGATTAACCGTTGACACCTTATCGGAATTTTGTCAAGGTCAATGTTGTTGATAAGTGGAACTAGCGGTGTGTGATCTGTGAGAAGATCACACTTCTCTAGTCCACAAAGATTTTTATTTACTAATATCTTTAGCCAGGATGACACAATCATTTTAAAGAAATGTCTTTCATTGTGGTCTTGAAAAAAAAAAAATATTATTAATAAATAATGATAATAAAATAATAATAAACAACAACAAAAAAATAATAATGATAAACAAAACACAAAAGAACACACCCAGAGTCAGGCATTAATAATCATAATCATCATTTTGAAACCCTTTTCCTCCCAAATTCCACTTTTTTTTTCTTTCCTTTTTCATTCTTTTTTCCTCCATTTCCTCTTCAGAAATCACGAAAATGGCATACGCGCGCCCCCGCTTTTGAGATGTCGCCGCCATCACTACCGTGTACACGCAGGTACCTCGGCGTCAGTTTGCTGGGCTCCGGTAGCTTCCATCGAGGATAAAGATATTTATGAAACCGTTCAGTTGCCCATACTGCTGCTAAGAGTTATTTTTCTATTTGAGCGTATCGGCATTCGATCTCAGGCAATGTGCGTGATGAATACGCTACAACTTTCAGATTATCTTTCTCTCCCTGCAGCAGAACAGCTCCAAGTCCATAACTGCTTGCATCTGCTGACAGAGTAATCGGCTTGTTTGGATCATAGAATGTTAATGTAGGTGCTTTTGTTATTAATTCTTTGATTTGCTCAAAGGCATCTTGTTGTGTTGGTCCCCATATCCATGCAGTTAAATCTTTCAGCAACTCATTCATTGGTCGAGTGACTTCTGATAGTTTTGGAATGTAACGACCTACGTGGTTGACCATCCAAGTATGCGTCTTAATTCGCTAGCATTTGTGGCTGGCTCTGACTGCATATGGCCTTTATCTTGGGGTCGACGCTTGTTCCTTCTGCGCTGAACCTCTCTCCCATATACAACAGCTCTGATTGTCTAATCTGGAATTTGCTTTTTGAAATTTTTTCAATTTGAGTCCGGCTTTCTCCGCCATTTCGTAGACCTGGTTCAATCTAGAATTGTGCTCTTCCATAGTACGGCCTGATACAATGATGTCATCTTGTACAACTGCAGTACCTTTCACATTTTGCAGCATATCTTGCATTTTCCTTTGGAATATTGGACTTGCACTAGTTATACAAAAAGGAAGTCTCCTAAATAAGTATCATGACAGAAAACACATATAATTGTTTTTTTTTTCTCCCCGACAAATTGTGGGTTTTCTGTCCGGCTTGAAGTAATTTGATTTATATCCTCTCGAATTGAGGCGGATTAGAGGTTATCTCATTGAAGTTTTGAAAATTATGACTGGCCGCGAAAAAATAGATTACAATAATCTCTTTGTTTTGGCGCAGGATAAAAGAACGCGTGGACATAAATTCAAAATTTATTTAAAAAAAAAAACGCCTTTAGAAAAACAGACACTTGGAATAAATTACCAGCACATGTGGTGGAAGCTGCATCAGTTCTGTCTTTTTAAAAACATCTTGATGTCTATTGGACACGTTAGGAAATCGTCCTCCCATCGGATTGGTTCTAAATGCATTGACAATGGAGTATAAAAAGCTTAAGCCTATATTAAAACCCAAACCTGTAAATGTAAGTGATAAACCCTTCAGGCCTAGGGACGTACGTAGAACCATTTCGGCCGCAAAAAACTTCGGGTACGATGTACAGTATGGAACATTGCAAGTGCAGCCGTCAATTGTTAGTCTATGCGTGTCATACGTTTTATGATGTTAGTTACTATTTTATTAATTTTGGGTACTTCGCAATGTCTGTTACATCTGATTGATTTTGACCGCTAGCTACAATTTGATTTGTGAAAATTGACCAAAAAAATGAAAAGTTACAGCAATTGAAAATTTACGAATTTTATAAAATTTCATGTTCTTACGTAACATTAAACTGTCATTTTGACAATGTTGGACTAAGGTGCACAAAACGAAAATTTTATTTTTGTAGTTCACAAACAATAGCATTATACCTTCAAGTAAATCCTTCATAGCCATGTAACTTGGTAATCCTTCAATAAAATAGTCAATCTTTTCTTCACAAAGCTCCTTCCTTTGCTCTAGATCCAGAATCAATTGCCAGCTGTCATTATAATTCATTAAAAACGGCATGTTATATCGCACATCAAGCATATTTATATCACATCTAGTCATGTGCATTCCTAGCTTTAACAGGAATTGTCTGTACCATGAGAATTTAGATACTTCACGTTCCCTGATTCTTTGTAAAGGTGGAAGTACAATTCTGGATTTGAAGCCAAATAGTCCAGTCACTTTTATTGTGTCGTAGAGAATAGTGAGATTCGTTTGACTCAAATTCCCTGAAACAATTAACATACTCAGTAAGAACCTCACATCAGTAGCCTCAATTAACTGATTATAAACTGGCACATGATCTCTGTTATTGTACAAAACTTTCAGCATATTGATGTATCCAAGCCTATTATACCATCTTGAAAAATCATCCAACAGCTGGTTGAAAACGCTTTCTGAAATTCCTAAAGAAAAATAGGTGACAATAAATTGCATATCACCAACAATAGAAATGTACAGTTGATAGAACAACATACAATAGAAAATGTGTATTTGATCATCTGAATTAAAATAGTTTTCATTAAAATCATTAAAATGATCAAAAGTGACAAATAGATAGTAAAAACAAATTATGTGAAGTCCCTTGATGGTTTAGAATTTAATTATCAATGCCAATAATAATAATAATAATAATAATATCAATGCCAATAATAATAATATTATTATTATTTTACCTGTTTCCTCCATTCTTCCTTTGTTATCTACTTCGCACAGCAATTTATTAAATAATTCACTCCAACTACTGAGATTCAAGTAACATTCACACTAAAATGGGTTCAATAGAATTGAAGATATTACATCATTTTTTTAATATTACCGTTATTACAATTCAATTTAATTTAATATACCTCTGCTGTTATTTATTTCAACAAGGTTTCTAGTCGAAATAAAAATCTCAGAGTGATACATTGATATACAAGTATCATGCGACACCACTTCACTTACAAGCAACTACCGCCAAGCAGTCTTTACCTTTACAGACCTCAATTCAAAATGTAGAAATAACAAAAAAAAAAAAAAAAAAAAAAAAAAAAAAAAAAAAAAAAAAAACAATAATAAAAAAAATCAGATAACTAAAAAAGCTCCTTATAGGCGTAGCAGTAAACGTATAGCCTCCCAACGGTGATTTTTTCTTCCCCGAGAGAATTTATAAGGACAACATAAAACGTTATAATTTGTTTTTAATATTGTCAAAGAATAATTAATATCCAAGGTTATTTTTCCCAAGACAGTAGAACCATTGTAAAGTTGTGAAATATTGGTACAAGTTTAATTATTTAAGAAAGCAATAAATGAATTAAAAATTTGTTTTCACCCTTTATTTACATGTATTTCTTCATTTTTACTTTATTTTATGTGCCTGGTTATCGGACTTCTGTGATTCTGTTGCTTCGGTCTTCACAACAGCTGCTTGGACAGCTACTGTCTACTTCACCGTCCATTATCCAGTGGCGTAACTAGGTTCTGAGGGGCCCTGGTTCAAAAGTACAGGCAGGGCCCTTGACGCATGCAAATAGACTTCCCACGATGGGTTAGTTTAAAAACAGGGGTCTCGATTTTTACCGTACTATTTTAACAACAAATATTTCGATTTTTTTATTTTTTTAATTTTTAGATGTTCTCAAAGACTGACCATAATAATAATAAGTATTTCTCTACTTATGACCAAAAGAAAAACCACATGCTAACACTAAATAAGATACAAAAGTACATTATTAAATACAATTTTTCTTCATCCCAGAATTTCTTTAAATCGCACAAAAACCAGTAAAAATTTACCACTAAAACTCGATGATGAAATACGTTAATTTTTGCACCTGTTTTAGGGTTTTTCTCTTTTGTTTGTTTTTTTGTATATTTATTGTTTCCTAATCTTTTCTGGGCTTATTTAAAAGCGAGAATATATATATTTCAGTTTTATTTGGCTCTCACTTTTTAAACAGTGGCAAACACAAAAATGTGGTGCGTCCATAAAACATAGAAATTACAACAAGTTGAGAAAAATACAAACAAAAATATAACAAAACGATCGGTGAGAAGAGAAATACATGGCTAACTAGATTACAGAACAAAAAAAAAATAATAAAAATCAATAGCAACAACAAAAATAATGAAATCAATAATAATGAAAATGAATATAATAATAAAAATAATAATAATAATAATAATATAATAATAATAAAAATAGTAATATCATAATATTAATTTAAAAGATCAATTACAAGCAAACACAAAGTGAGATTGTATTGTATTGTACAAGGAGTAACCATGAAATATGAAATCAAAGTGGATTTTGGGATACCGTTTCGGCATTTACCATCAGTTTTATTGGTTTTAATTTTGTTAACATTACAAACTACAAAATAATAAATTAAAAAAAATTAAAAAATAAAGGTAAATAAAGGAGGAACATATATGTGTTTCAGAGGAAACATGTTGTTTGTTCCATTATAGAGGGGGAACATGATTACTTCATTGTATTGTATACATATTTTTTCTAAGTGTCCAAGCGGCAATGAGGTATTTTTTACAGTAATGATAAAATATTTTGTCTAAATAATCAATATTAATCTCTGTTAAACTGTCTAAAAACAAATGATGTTTATATTCAATAGAGCCTTTATCAAAGTCATCCCAAATATGTTGGAGATCCCAGTAAATCAATTCATTTTTTAATTCTTCAAATAGGTTATCTCTGATTGTTTGAAGTCCATTACATTCGAATATAAAGTGGTTGACTGTTTCTATATTATCGTCATTGCATATTTTGCATATGCCAGTATTTTCATGTGACCATGATTGTTTTCTACCTTCGAGTTCCAATGAATTAGACCGTGCCTTAAATTTTAGATTTACACCAGTAAAATTAGTTTGATAAAGTAAATAATGTTCGAAGTCTGGTACTCCTTTTTATTTTATATACCGTATTCTTTAAGGGATGACTTTGATTTTGCCCTTTCATACCTTTCATTCTTTAGCGTCATTCTTTTTGTTCTTAATTTTAAATAGCTTTAACCAGTTACGATTCACAGGTTCTGTACTATAAACATTGAATAGATTACATTTTTGTAATATACTTTTGATCGTATATGGCCATTTCCATTTCATAGTATCTTGTACTTGTAAGATGGCTTTAAACAATAGTTCCGGCCATCTATCCTCATTCATGCATTTTAATCTATTTAAAAGATCACCTAAAGTTGGTCTGAATGGACAAAATAGATTGCCAACCTAGGTCGCCATATAAGGCTTCTTTTGCCACATTTCGGGGGCTTTTGAGAATTATTCTGGCCATCTGGTATTGTAAATTTTCTAATTTTTCCATATGGGTTTTGCTGTTGCAAAACCACACTGAACACGCGTAATTTATATTTGGCAATCCGATAGCATTCCAAATAATTTTCCATAGAAAATCCTATTGAAGTTATCTTGTTCATTAATGATAGATTTAATATACGCAATGATTCTATTTCCTTTTTAAAATACTTCGTCAAGGTGGTGCGTGTCGGTCAATGAACGAGATATAATTACTCCTAAATATTTATAGCAATTTGTTTCTGAAATAAAGTAATTTTCAAGTTTCCATTTTTTAAGTTGGTTTACTCTTTGTCCTGTGATAAGGACATTTGATTTATCAATGTTAAAACACAACTTAAATTTGTCGGAGAAATCACTTGCTGCTCTGAGTAACATTTTCAAATCATTCTCGTTTTCACCAACAAGTACCACATCGTCAGCCCAAAAGAGGCTACCAATTTTTACGTCATAAATGCATACGCCAAGATTTCTCTCTATAATGATTTTGTTCAATTCGTTTATAAAAATTGAAAAAAGGACTGGTGATAGAGAGCAACCTTGCTTGACACCTTCATTAACAGTGAATAGTTCAGATTCAAGGTCATTGAATGATACCTTACATTTTACATCAGTATATAGGCCTTTGATAATATTTAACAAGCTACCCTTGATACCAATATGTTTGATTGAGTATATAAGTGCATCTCTCCAGACTCTGTCAAAAGCTTCTTTGAAGTCTAAGAAGGCCAGATGGGTTTTTTTGCCTTCTGCTTGACGGGTAGCTATTATACTTTTCAACACAAATATGTGATCATCGCAACGTCTATTCTTTCTAAAACCAACTTGCAGCTCTGTTAAAAAGATCATGGTCTTCAATAAATTTTGACACAGTCTGGGAGATGATTCTATTATAAACCTTAGACACGCATGAATTTAATGTGATCCCTCTATAATTGTTCAGGTCTCTTTGATCACCTTTCTTGGTCCCCTTCCTTTCAGGGCATCCTATTCTTCCGGTATAAATCAAAAACGTTAGGCCTATACTCACAAAAATGCCCTGTACATAATGCTAAAGAGTGCGCCCCGAAAAGCACCCAGCTTAAAAATGTTATATCTGGACACAGAAGGTACTGTAGTAGCATGACTCAAAATATTGACCAATTCATAATGCGTAGGCCTATTTTAAAACACTGCCATAGCTAACGAATTGAGTTGTTTACCTACATTAACAAATAAAATGCAAGAAACACAAACACATTCTATAGGCCCTAAATACAATAATAATAATAATAATAGTAGGCTTATTGTATTTATGTGACGGGTATTGTGAAATACATAACGTTTAAATTGATGTAGGCCTAATTAAATAAAACCTTAGATTTGAATACACAGGTGTACAATACGCTGTGCATTATTTAATACATTATAATATTGTACAATGAATAATTGCCTACTATAATTACACAACATGCAGGGTATCGTAAAATATAATTAATATACAAAATAAAACATGTGTTACGAATACACATGATGCAATATGCTATCATTATGCTTAATAATAGGCCTACAAATTAATATACCATAGAGTTTCGAGTAACATACTGCTGGTACAATTATTCTTTTACTTATTCGTATTTCTCTTCTTATGACCAAAAGAAAAAACACATTCGAAATGTATTGAATTGGTGTTTTTCTTTTTATTTATCGGATTGACCATTGAGCAATTATCTTGTATATTAGCTTTATATACCTAAACTAAATAAAATAAAATGGATCACACCTGACATCGTTAGACTATGTATGACCGTAATCATGCAAAACACTTATTTGATAAATATGGCAGCCAAACAATTAAAAAAATGCTAATACTAAATAAGATAAAAACAAGTACATTATTAAATAAAATTTTTCTTCATCCCAGACTTCAGATTATTTCTTTAAATCGCACAAAAACCAGTAAAAATTTACCACTAAAACTCGATGATGAAATACGTTAATTTTTGCACCTGTTTTGGGGTTTTCTCTTTTGTTTTTTTTTGTTTTGTTTATTTATTGTTTCCTAATTGTTTCTAGGCTTATTTAAAAGCGGGAATATATATATCTGTCTCTTATACACATCTAGATGTGTATAAGAGACAGGTATTGTCCTTCATGATATTGAGAATCCTTTCTCGCATATCCTCGACAGCTTCTAATACGTAATATCGAGTCTCGACTGCAACGTCTTGTATCATTTTAAACTTACGATCCAACAAATCTTCAAACTTAAAAAATTTGCTATAACTCACTTTCGAGTCCAACTTGACTTCGGGATGAATCTCTCTATATACTAACCATAGTTGGTATTCGGTTAGGTTCAACTCCAACAGCTTTCGGATTGGTAGATACGACAAAATTCTATATTTTACCTCTTCCATATTTTTAATTATATTTTTGTGTGCGTATGTGTGCGTGTGAGCTCTTCG